ACAAACGTAATAAAATCCAAAACGTAAATAAATGTTCTTTAATGCCTCCAACTTGGCCCCACTGTTCAACAATTCTCAGTTGGAGATTAAACTTATTCAAAAACAGTCTTCAAAAGAAAGCAATACAATCCAAACTTAATGAACAGATAGAGGTGAAATAAAAAACCAAAACAAACTACAATGAAGGAATTTCCACAACGGACCAGGATAAGTAATTACCAACTTCAAGGAGATAACAAGGCATGGTCTCTTGGAAGGTCGCCAACCAAGATAACTTCAGCCCAAAATAACACACGCTTTGCTTCTAGCAATGCTGTGTTTCAACCGTCTCTCTTATATACTATTCTCCCCAGCTGCAACCAATGAGGGGGATCATGGCCACTTCCTCTCTCGTAAGCCAAGTTGTTTCCTTCTTTGTTCCTCACTGTGTGTCCTAGGATGAAGAGGGGATGGGCCTGGTTCTTCTGACTGCCCAGTCGGCCTCTGCCCTTCCCCAGCCTCCTCCACAACCTCCGGAGCCACACCTCCACTCCCTGTCAGCTGTTCCTCCTCTCCCTCAGAGTCCGACTCTAATAAGGGCATGACAGTTCCAATGTTTGAGGGGCTGCCACAGAGAGGAGAGAGTCAAGCTATTTTCCAAAGCACTCAAAGGCCAGACAAGGAACAATGGATGGAAACTGAACAAGGAGAAATTCAACCTGGAAATAAGGAGAAATCTGCTGACAGTGAGAACAATCAACCCATGGAACAGAAGTTGCCTTCAGAAGTTGTGTGAACTTTGGCAGCAAGCGCAGCAGGAATCGCGGACCGTCGCGAATTCCTGCTGCCACCGAAGCCACGCAAAACCAGAAGCCATGGGGTAGGGTCTCCTGCTTGGGCAGGGGGTTGAACTAGATAACCTACAAGGTCCCTTCCAACTCTTATTCTATCTTCGAGACAGATACGAAAAAGTTTCTATTGGTAGACCACAGATTTACAGCCAATCCTCGACTTACAACAGTTTGTTTAGTGACTGTTTGTAGTTACAAAGGCACTAAAAAAGTGACTTATGAGTTTTTCAGACTTACGACCTTTGCACTTGTGATCAAAATTCAGATGCTCGGCAATGGATTCATATTTACGATGATTGCATTGTTTCCGTGTCATGGCATTCCCTTTTATGACCTTCTGACAAGCAAAGTCAATGGGGAAGCCAGATTCACTTAACAACCAACTTTAACAGCTGCAGCTCAACAAGTGTGGCAAGAAAGGTTGTAAAATGGGGTCTGTCCTAACTTCCAACAGTACCTAAGCGATCAGTTGTAAGTCGAGGACTACAATATTTAAGTCTCTGATCCTACAATTACTTCTATGGTTCAAATTTTAATTTTTTTAACACAGAAAATTAAAATACAAACTCCAAAGGGGAGGAGAAATTGAGATTTTTACAAGGACAAAGCAAAACTAAGTAGACATTTAATAATGTGGATTAAAAAGACTAAAGACAAAAACACAGCAGCATTACTCCCACCTAGACGAGCACTGACAAATATATTGCAAGAATAATACTTTCCTCACAGGTCTAAGATTTATAAACTTCTACATCTATTTGCAACCAATTTGACCTGTTATAACATCCAGCTACTATAATCGTTAACAGTTTAATCAACAATAAACTTCAAAGCCCTCTGTTAACAATTTGTGATTGTAATTAGCTTGTAGAAAGGCTACAATGGTTTTTTTATCTACTACAAAACACCCCAAGCACCAATTTTAAATACAATTACTTCTCTTTTTTTGTTTGCAAACTTTTAAATATTGGGATTTATTGGGGTGGTTGAGCACACGGAAAGGCTACTTCCTTCATGACAAATACTGCATCAGGCTCAGTTAGTTTTTACAGCTACGGGCAATCCTCATTTAGTGACTGTTCTCAGTCACAACAGTGAGGAAAAAGCAACTTGAAAACCAATCCTTGTATCTACCACTTCTTTTCAGCTCTTTAAAGCAAAGGAAACCTGAACTAAGAGCATAAGCTGTTCTGACACAAACCTGGTTCCAAGAGAGCAAACACAAGACCAAAGTAGCAGCACAATCTTTTAATGTTTCATTTACGAATCCTGTTTCTTCACAGATAAAAGGCTGCTTCCAACTAATTAGCTCCGATAAGGAAGAGCCTTGCCAAGTTTTTTGCAAGGCTGCCAAGAACAACAGATAAAGTTCCTAAACAATAAATCAAAGAGACTCCAAAACTCAGATATTCCTAATGTCCATCAGGCTCGAGTATCAAACTTATTTATTTGCCTTCTGCAAAGAACTGCAGTTTCTCCGCTGGCTTTTATCTTCTCAGGGAGGGGCCATTACCTTGCAGCCTTACTCCCGAGTCGCCTGTGCTGCTGCAGCTGCTCTTTCCTTCGAGCAGCCCTGTGCGCACGCGAACTTTTGGCCCAGGCTCCTCAGGGGCCTCTTCATCACTGCTGCCAGCCTCCACAATCTCCAAAGGCAGCACTCAAGACTCCCTGATGGTCCTGGCCCCCATCCCTGCATCACACACAGGCCCCTCATCTGAGTCCTCACTCTCCGAGACCTCAGCCATCCACACCTGCTGCCGGCAAACCACCACATAAGCACGCTCCCAGTGGCACTTAGCGACTGCTCTGCTTAACAACCCAGTTGTCTTAGTACTCCTTTGAGGTCACTAAGCAAGGACTATCTATATATATCAGTTAAATTGTCAGCCATCTTGCCATTTTTTCCCCTCATTAAAAGTTGCTGTGACTGACGAAGACAACAACTAAGTCTGTAAACACAAACTCACAGACAGACGCACATGTACATTTTGGAAAAACCAGACTCCTAATTATTTAGGTGGGGTTCCCCCTTTCTAGACAGAGTGACTTAGTAGGGCTTAAGACATAAAAGGCTGCGAGGCATCCTGGGATCTGAATCATTCCCACAGTAGCTGGCAACCCCATCCTACGCCTACTCAGTTGTTGCTGAGTTGCTAGGATTCATTGCCACCTCAGCCTAAAATTCTGACTAACTCCACAAATGAGGGAGTAAATCCCAAACACCTCTTTGAAGATGGAGGCGTCGACACATTTTCTTGTTTGCACTGGCAGATTTCATGGGAACCTTCGCACGCTCTTAAAGATGGGTGCTTCTCTGTAACTTGGATTAGGCAATCACAATCCATCAGAATAGAGGCTGGAAGGGATCTTGGAGGTCTTCTAGTCCAGCCCCC